AAACTATTTTAAATATCAAACACAATTATGAGGAAAACAGAAAATAGCCTTCAAAGAGCAGGGTTTTTTTAAAGTTAATGTGTCTGCCCTGCTTAATCACAAGCTGAAAGGAGTACTTGATGACTAGTGTATACTTCAGTTAACACTATTTCATAAAACCTGGCTTGACAGAAGTATAAGATAAATTAATCAAATAATTCAAAAGTTGAAAGATGCACCAGCTGGCTGGTGCTCCAGCAGAGGTACACCAGCTCTGAGCAGCAGGCAAGGCTGCAGGAAAGGGACAGGCCAAGTGGGCAGTGCAGGTCCATATTCAGTAGTGCTATGGGTCAGGGACTTGTTTTAGACTGCTCTGACCAAGACACTGCTCGCCTCAAATCACCCCTGCTCTTTGGGGTGACACTGAGGGACACTGTGGAACATAAAGCTCTAAAGACTCATTCTTACAGTTCAAGGTCAAGGACTCTCACAATGAATAGATGTTATGATATTGAGTATTTAAGACTCACAGATGTGCTGCCTTGATGTTCAGTTTGCAGCTTATCAAAGCTTTATATGAAGGCACAATTTATAATGCCAAGTTAAAAGCTATTACAAATAAGAAACTGTTTCCTTTAAAAAAGATGTGAGAGAATATTATTTGTTTCTCCCAGAAATAGTGTGTATTCCTCTTCCTTACAGCATCACGGTAAAGAGTACTTCCTTATGATATTTGAAAATGAGCCAAACACCATGGAGGAGAGGTTTTTGTTTAGCATCAAGTCCTCATGCTCAAGTGTCCCTAAACAAAAAGTAATGCCTGTGACATAACCCACCACGTGAGAAAGTTTACAAAGTACTAAAGAATGATTTAAAGAATATTCCATTACTGACAAATGGTGCTAAGCAAGGCCTGGCCTGGGTTGGAAATATTCTATTCAGTACCCACAGGGCTCAAATGACTTTTGGTGGCAAGTCTGAATGGAAATCAGTAACACTTCTGACACAAGAATGTGATCAGAAATGTATTTGTCTCTGGCCACGTGAAGGGCAGAATGCTATCCTGGATATTACATAAAACATTAATTTACAATTTTGTCCATACCAAAACTTGAAATTAATAAATGAACTACAAAAATAAATAAAAGGGAAAGATTTTCACTACACAGGAAGTTTCTGCATGAGGCTCCAAGCCTGGTAATAACAGAAGTGGTCTTTACCATTTCTCTGTAGACTTAAGAGCAGGAACATAAACACTAGAAATACTTTGACCAACCCACTGCTACTGCTCCATCTTTTGTCATGTTACTTCCATATTTGTAATGTACAGATTATTCACACACAATTTCAGCTTTAGATGTCCAAGGCCATGCATACACAAAACAGAAATTAAAGCACCAGTGTTGGTTAGACTGGATGTTGAGAAGTCCGTAAAGTGATTTAAATGACTCATTTCTCCATGCTTCAAGAATGTAAAGCATGATATCACTTTATAATCAGAAGTCTCCCAACTGTCTTTCCTTGTTCTAATGTTTGTCTTGCTCTTACATAACAAGCCTCCAGTGAAACCATCGCTACTTTAATCAAGAGTTGCCTGCACACAACTTTTGAACTGTTAAGTTCACTCAGCTCCTAATGGTGGAGTACCTAGGAGAAGTTGTTGACTCAGGATCTTACTGGGACCAGCTGCAAAAGTGTTTTTGGCAGAATGTCATTATTACTCTTGTGTCAACACAATGAAAACCCCGGGCTAGCCCATGGCACAGGATACTCTTCCCCACTGAAACTGGTGGTGGTGACTGAGTGCTTCTACAGCGAGGCCACAAACCCAGGGTTTTGACACCACCTCCTGACTGGCCCTTGACCACTGTGTTACTGCAATCACCTATTAACAGCCCATCACTTACCAGAACTGGCACAGAAATGGGTTCCTCATTGCAGTAAAAGAAACTGAAGCCTATGAACACACTTGTTTCCTTTTACTGATATTATCCCTTCTCTGTCAGCAGCCCCATGAGTTTTTTAAACTCTTCAAAAATAGTTACAGAACACAACACAGCCTCATTTACCCACCATCTTTATGGTCATAGATTCTGAAGGACTGAAAATGGGAACACAGGTGCACCAGTCTATTTGGGGTTGCAATTTTCTTCTCCATTTCCACAGCAGAAACTGGGAGGACACTGTCTGTGACCATGTCTTTGTCACTGTGGGCAGTAATTGCCAGCACAGCAGCACCAAGGGAACAGCTCTTCAGGCTCAGCAGGGCTGCGTGGCAGAGAGGCAGAGAGCTGCTCAAACACAGGTGGAAAGAACTCACTGTAACTCTCAAGGTCATACAGGTCACTGAGTGATAAATTTGGCCAACTCCAGGGTTAAATGATTTCTGAGCAGAAATGTTTGGAATAATAATTTTGGTCGAAGGTACTGAAGCTCTGCCCAAAACTCCTTCCAGAGTTCAGGTTCTCATCTACATCTGGGTTACCATAACATCTTTGGTCTCAAATTATGCTGCTGGAGAATGAGATTTGTATAAAGTCTTGAAAACATAAAAGCCTGAGCTCTGCAGCTGAAGGACTCTTCAGTCCAGTCATTACAGAAACATGTCTGAGGTACTGGAGTTACTTTCATTATTATAAGGAAATAAATAGTTACCATCATATTGCCTAACCAGCAAGAAAATTACTTGTATATTGAGTAAATAAAGTTCTCTTTGACTCTATTAAAAGCTTTTTTTACTTTGAAAACCAGATTATGTTTGTACAAAAGTCCCTCAGGTATCTCCTCATGCCTCCAGTTGAATCACTACTATCAAAATATTTAGTCATGATGTCTCCTGCCTCACCAACCATGTTCCCCATCTTCACCCTACTGAGAACTGAATGCTCTATCACTTTCCAAACCCTAAAATTCACAGATCCTGGTCCTCCATATCAATTAAATCTATCGTACCTTTGGTCTTCCATATCCCTACTGGCACCTCAGACATCTGGAGCTTCAGACACGCCAGGCTGTACCTTCCAGCTCCATAGTCCTTCCCTCTTGAAATAGCCATAAATTAAATAACAGGCATGTAAGAATGATCTAAACACATGCAATTATCCTATTTTGTAACCAAACAAAATATTATATCTCACACTACCAAAAGTCAATTAAAGCCATAGAGGGGTGTGATCACATTTAAAGTTCAGGAAACTACCATGCATCCATACACTGTTGATCCCACTGAGCCTTGGAGTTTTTAATCACTATTGCAATGATACAAAATTTCAGTGCATCTCCATGCCACTCATGTGACCGTAAAAACAGAACAGACCTGGAGAACACCACAGGTCACCTGATTGCTGGTCTTGATCAGAAGCAGCACATGCAGAGAGCTTCTATCAAAAATGCTTGAGCTTTTTTATTAGTGTTCAATATTATACTGGATATTCCTTGTCAGCTGCCAAGGTTGAAGCTTTCTGTGTTCTACCTTGCACCAAATTATTTTGAAAGTTTAAACTAGAATGGCTGCAATTAAAAAAACAAACAAACAAACAAAACTTAGGTAGAAAGACAAGTGGCTTTCCTTACAGGGAGAAACACCTAATTTATTGAGAAAGTCTATTACCTTCCTGCTTTATCTGAAGTTAAGCAGACGGCTGGCTCCAGCATAATACTGAGTATCATCTTGTACAGAAAAGGACTTGAGGAGGAGAAATAAGTGGGGTAGAGAGACAAGATGAGGACAGCATTAAGGAATAGGTAAAATAAAGACAACAAAAGTTAAGGGTGCGTAAAGGTGATGTGAAAGACATGGGAGTAGAGAGAGGAACAATAGTGGTGACGGTAGAGGGAAGTATAACAGAGAGCAGGAACTCCAGGAGAGGAGGGTTAGCGGAGAAAAGGAAGTTTTTTTTGTGCAATACTTGATGAACTTCAGTGGCAGCCCCATTTCTGTTGCAGCCTTGCCAAACTCTCCTCGCCCACGGCGAGCCCGGAGCTCATTTCTGTCCGGCCCTCGGGGCTGCGGCGCCGGGCGGCACCGCCACCTGCAGGCGAGCCGCCGCATCTGCAGCCGGGCGGGCACGGCGGGCACCCCTCGGGCCTGCGCGCGGCTCTCCTTTCTCGCCAGGGACACCGACACCGGCACCGCTTCACGGGACACGGGTCCCGGGTAAAGGACATTTATTATGTGCTGCAAAGCGCCGTGAAGCCTCTCAGCTGCATGGGAGCGACTGCGCCGTCCGGGGCACGGAGCCGGCCGGACCGGTACGGAGCCGGCTGAACCGGCACGGACCCGGCTGAACCGGCACGGACCCCGCTGAACCGGCACGGACCCCGCTGAACCGGCACGGAGCCCCGCTGAACCGGCACGGAGCCCCGCTGAACCGGCACGGAGCCCCGCTGAACCGGCACGGA